TAAAGGAAAAATCACGGCCTGCAATTCCTGGTCATTTACTCAGCTCAGCCTTGAACCTCAGCATCACCCTGAGCTGCCACCCTACGGGTGCTTCCCCCAGCACGACCCCAGGGGCATCGAAGCCTGGATGGTGGACGTTCGCTCGGAGCTGTTGGAGCTAGAGCGCTGTGGGACTTTACATCGTACCAGGCTGGGTCGTGGTCCAGCTCACTTTAGCATCATCAGGGGCAGAGGCAGAGAACAGGAGGCTTTCTGGGAGATGAAGGTCTCCTTGGAGTCTCTGTAAATTCAGGTTATGTAAATCAGACAGAGCTAGGTGTTATTTCTCCTCCTCGTGTAGGGTTTAGACAAGAAAATCACAAAATCCATGAGGTCAGGTTTAAAACTATTTGGAACTTGGAAGGCGGGGGTGTAGCTCCGTGGTAGGGCATGTGCTTAGCATGCACGAGGTCCTGGGGCTCAATACCCAGTGCCTCCATTAAAAAAAAAAAAAACCGTTTGAAACTTCACAGCGTTTTTCCGGGCATCCTGTCAGATACATGGAGAAATGGATACCATGCTCACTGCTGATCACTTAGCCGCTCCCTCAGCTCTGCTGTACGGATTGTGATGTTTCCTCTGCCGACCGACTTCTCCTGCCTCCTTTCCCAGTCACGGGGCTGTTATTCTCCCTGACGAGTAAGGAGTGACAAGATCTTTTATTAAAAAGATCAGTAGGTCTATATATAAAATGTTAAATGTATCTACTTGCCTCTGAAATTATCTTATTAAGAATACCTTAATAACAATCCTTTCATTTTATTGCAGAAGACACTATTGTAATAGCCCAGCTAGGAAGGAAACACAGCTGACTAGCAAGATGAATCATTTAGCAAGATGGAAAAAAAGAAGTTCCTTGTGTGCAAAAATATCTAGTGATTGACATGTTACCAGATTTCCACAAAATAGATTTCCACGTAATTTAGACTTTGATTTCTTTTCCTCACAGATCACAAGAACCTTTCTGATCAGGATTAGGTTGGGGGGGTGGGGGGGGACATTCTTCATTATGAAAAGAGTAGCGGAGGCTTCCATAGGGCCATTAAAGATCAGGATGCTTGCGTGAAGGTGCCGCCCAGCGGCGCCCCCCCCAGCAGCGTCTCCCCCAGCGGCGCTCTCCCAGCCGTCCCCGGCTCCCTGTCGGTCCTGGAAGCCCTCGACTTTCACTCTGCATGCAGTGCGGAGTCACTGGAAGATTCTGAGCAGGAGTGTCTTGACTGGCTCAGGCTTTACCTGGATCTCACAGGCTGCTGCTCCAAGGAGATGAGGCTGGAAGAGGGTGGGGCCACGCAGGGGGTGCGAGGAGGCCCGTAAGGGGCCCCCCCTCTCTCTCTGACTTCACCTTCTGCCACCGTCCCTGGTCCCTGGGCTCTGGACCACCACTCTCCTTACTGTATCTGGAACCACCCCAAAGGCTCCCACTGGAGCCTTTCGCCCGAGCAGTCCTCTGCCCGGAGCCTCTTCCCCAGGCGTCCACGGGCCTCCTCTCCCTCCTCCTTCAGACCCCACCTTCTCTCTCCGGAGCCCTTCCTGGCCACACTGTCTAAAATCAGGCCCCTCCATCTTTCTCTCTCCTCCTGATGTCCGTCTGACATCCTAGTACAGGTTTTACCCACCTCACCGTGGGGCTAAGTCCCAGTAAACTATCCTAAGTTGAAACTGTCCTATGTCAGAATGCATTTCATCCCCCTCACCTGCCAAGCATCGCAGCCCAGCCTCGCCCACCTCACGTGTGCTCGGAACACTTACACTAGATGACAGCGGGGTAAAACCGTCTAACACAAGGCCTTTTTTATAGCAGAGGGTTGGACTTCTCATGTAGGTTATGAATACTGAACTGAGAGTGAAACAGAACGTGTCTGGGTCCAGGTGGTCATACATGACCAAATTTTCCCCCTCGTGACCGCCTGGCTGCCGGGACTGGAGGCTGCCGCTGCCCAGACTGGGAGAGGGGGTGGTCCTGCACGTCCAGCCCAAGGGAAGGTCCAGATGATAAATTCTGAGCAGTTTCCACTGAATACCTATTGCTTATGCACCATTGTCACGTCGAACCACCCTAAGAGGGGACCGTCTATAGCTGATTGTGTCAGTTTCCCCGTTCGTCTGGTGGGGGATGGGGGTGGGAATTCCACTCGCAAGGGCTGGGCGCCTTCGCTGCTGCATCCCTGGCGCCTGCACCCAGAGTCGGATGCACAAGGGCCTCCTGGCTCTGCTGTCTCCCGGCCCCCATCTTGGGCGCATAGGAAGCAGCATGTGGAAACATGGCCACCTCGATGACACCTTCCTGCTGGGCCCCTTCCTGGAGTGCAGTCTCACAGTCAGGTGCCCTCCACCGGCAGGAGGTCCGTAGCTCCCTTTTCAGCCAGGGCACACACCTCGAGTCACTGTTTTGTCTATGGTCCAAGCCCTGGCCAGCCCTCCCGGAGGGTCCGTTGCTGGATTTCCAAGATCCCCTGACTTCCGGGGCCCTGTCGCTCGCGGGCAGCCCCCTCCCCACTCCTGAGCCGGAGCCAGCACGCTGCCACCTGTCCTTCCATCCTGATGTCTGAGACCAGCCCTCCAAAGCCCCCTCCTCCGCCTGGGCTGAGCTTTCCCGAGAGAGACCCTGTGTGGGGCCCCATGCAGAGGGAAAACCAGAGTCTGCAAATTCGGCTGAAATGCCTGCTATTTCCCCGCTCTTTGGCGGCGAGGGCAAACTGTGGTGCCTATTTTTATTACCGTGACTCACTCTCTCCTCCCTCGTTAAGCTTGCTGCTTTCCAGCGCGAATACCTGCTCAAGTCGGCCTGGCCTCCTATTACGGCCCTGCCTCCGTTCCCGCAGGAATGACTGTCACTCACAGCTCCCCTCCCAGGCTCCTTTTGTAAATAATCTAAATTTATCTTCTCAAAATAGAAAGAAAGGTGATACCTTGCTGGTTCTGCGATTTCCTTGTGTTGCTTGATGGCACGGCCCTGAGATGTAAACAGACGTGAACCAGTGGCGTGCAGTTCTTATCGGAGAAAGGAGGACACTGGCCTCCACTCCCGGCTCGGGGACCTCCCGACCTGCCTGCCCCAGGCGCTGGTCCAGCTGCTGCCCCCACCGCCACCCCAGCCCTGTTTCCTCAGCTCTCCATGAGGCCACGGCCTTATGCTTTAGAGATTTTGTGACTGTGACTTTGAAGATGAACATTTTCCCCGCAAACGTCCCTGCGCCCCCATTGTCATCGTTCTGAAACCAGAGATGGAAAGGAAAACACATTTTGAGACTTTTTTAAGAGTTATTTCTTGCTGGTCTTCAGAGGCCAAATCCAGATTTAAAAAGCTTATCAATTATACTTTTGTTCCTGCTCCAAAATTCGTGACCAGTCACTCAAAGGCCCCTTGTTCTCATTTTCACTCACTGTTTACAGCGTCCCCGAGGAATGGGGGCACATCCTTGGGCCCAGTATTTAGATGGTACCTTTATTCCCTGGGGAAAAGGAATAGCGTGAGACGGGGCAGAGTGGGGACGGGAGGGCACCGCTCATTCTGAGAAGGATCTGAATTTGCGAGGCCTGACAGAGCATCTCAGGTCCGCGATCAGTTGCTGAGGATAATTGTGATTGCTTTTGCTTTGGGAAGCTTTGCAAGCAGACTGCTGCGGCCCAGAGCGTCTGTGTTGAAGTGCACACACAGGGGTTCTGACTCAGACTTGGGCAGGGTGCATTTTCTCTGTAAAGAGCAGGAATATGTTCTTCCATTTGTCTCTGGTGTCTTGCCGCTTAATTGGATTCCTGGGTGGTTGCTCAGCCACAGGAATTCTCCACAGGGCAGGGGCCTGGCCATGGCACACCACCTGCCAAATCTGTGTGCTGGGGAGGGGCTTCAGCTCGGAGGCCAGGCTGATTTTAAAGGAACTGGACTGTTCACTCTAAAACACCTAGTAACACATAACTATTAGAAATTAAAATTCCGGGGGGCAGGTACAGCTCAGTGGTAGAGCACATGCTTAGCATGCATGAGGTCCTGGGTTCAATCCCCAGCACCTCCATTAAATAAAGGAACAAACAAACAAACCTAATTACCTCCCCTCCCCCAAAGAAATTAAAATTCCTATTCTTGGGAAAAAGAGGCACCTGGATGTGTCATTGTAAGTGACATGATTTACTTCTAGTCTCTTATAGTAGGAGCTACAATTGAGTTTACTTTCTGGAAAATTCGAGTTTATTTTCTAGAAAATCGCATTTCATTGCTGCAAAAGAATTTTTATTTCCAAACGACTGCTCCGAGCGTACATTTTGGAGTCACAGAGACAGAGGTTGAGGAGGTGGTGGTGTGCAGTGGCAATCCTCAAATTCAAGGAGGGAGCAGGGAGTCCCGCGTTGATGGGGAGACTCCTTTCTAACTGTCCACAAACTGGCGTTTACGTAGAAGTCAGCAGTTTCTCTGCACTAAGTTAAAGAGTGCTGTGCTGGGTAAAGGGCGGCTTACCCCCAAGATTCGTCACTAGCCAGAGACACGCCGGGGAAGTTGTGGTTGATTCACCGGGTTTTTGTGGCCAGGACAGCCGAGCTGTATTATTAGGGTCACATAATTCCAGCTGCAGCATGTTTGTGTGTAGAGAGGGCAGTGCTGGGAGGTGGGCTGTGTCACAGGATCATGTAAAACCATCACTAGTACTGCCTGAATCTTAAGCTGCTGGAAGAGTGGGCAGTGACACACTGCTGTCCTGCTGGGAGGAGAATCGTGGCAGACGCTGGGTCTGTTTCGGAAATGTGCTGAAACCAGACTGTTAGCGCAGTGAGCCATTTTAGATGTACCCGGCTGCGTATTTGGAGAGAACACAGATCTTTCTATTAGGAAGGGTAAACAAGCTCTCTGAGCTGCAGAGTCACTGCAGGTGAGTTTCATCGCTGGATTGTTGAAGCCCAGCTGCGAAGGTTCACCCCTGGATTCAGGTGGGATTCAGCTGTTTTCTCCTCGCCCCATTCCCTTCTAGGTTTTCGGTCTGCATCATGTCTGGAGCCAGCCGGCTGCTGGCGCTTCTCCTCTGCGGCTGCTACGTGGCCGCCCTGGGGGTCCACACCAGTGAGCACTGCCCGGCCGAGCATCACCAGGCCGACCAGTACGTGGCTGCCGTGTACGAGCACCGGTCCATCCTGAGCCCGAACCCACTGGACCTCATCAGCCGCAGGCAGGCCTTGGAGCTCATGAACCAGAACCTTGATGTATACGAACAGCAAGTGATGGCCGCAGCCCAAAAGGCAAGATACGCTCCCGGGTCAGGGTGGCTGGTCCGCAGAACAGGGCAGATTGCTCGTTAGCCCCCATCAGTGGTTCCCGCAGCCCCTTTGGAAAATCAGCCGATAAGCTAAGTGGAATTATGGAATTAGTCAGCTGACTGAGTCCTGCTACTCAGAGGGTGGTCCGCGGACCAGCCGCAGCAGTTGCCCCCACCCCAGAGATGGAAGAAGTGAGAATTAGGGCCCTGCCCTAGATCTGCTGATTCAGACTCCACACTTTAGCAAGGCCCCCCCGATGGTGCTCCCCCTCCAGTCCCAGAAGCCCGTGGCAGACCCCTGTTCTCACGCCGGCTGTGTGGAGGAATGGCCTGGCCGCTGAGAAACGTGGGAGCCAGGCTCCCACGCCTGCCATCGGCTGGGCTGCAGGCTGAGCTTTGGGATTTTTCAAGGCTCCCCAGTGGATTCTGATGTGCAGAAAAGTCCGAGAGCCCCAGGCTTGACGGCCTCTCGTGCCCTCGGAGGCCCTTGGAGTTTACCTGGGGTAGTAAGCATCCCCGGAGCTGCAGTTTGCTGCCCCCCGATTATGCAGGACTCCTTTCTGGTCTCTGTGCCAGACCAGAGCAGCCTGAGCACTCAGCCCACATGGACCGAGGGTGCCAGTGCCAGCCTCTCCTGCCAGGAAGGGTGGTGCAGACCCGGTGGTGTCAGTGCCCAAAGTTACTGTAGGAAGGTGACCTGCTGGGAGGAAGTCTGGCCTTTAACCCTGGTGGCGGTGGGGACCAGCCCGCTGTCTGGACAGGAGGCACTCTCTGTGCCCTGTGTCTGCGAGTTCAGAGGACAGACGCATCCTGCCAGCAAGTCCCGCCCAAACAGCCCCCGACTCTGTTCACGGTGGTCAGGGCTCCCTGGACGCCCACTGCCCACCGCTCCAGTTTAGGGTCTAGCCTGTGGGACATACTTACATCACACACTAGTGTCGGAAGGACGCCCAAAGGCCTGGCCCACCGTCTTCTGATGGGCGACACTCTTGTCCCTAGCCTGCCATCCAGCTGCTCCTGAGAGCTTTCAGTGGCCCTGGACACGCTGCCTCCCAGGTCCACACGCTCCACTTGAGGGCAGTGGGAACTTATGGAAAAGGCTGCCTTTCTGTGAGCGACAGTCAGCCTCCCTGTGACTTTCACCCACTGTCCCATCCTCTGGGCCAAACAGAGCAGACCGAGTCCCTCGGCACGCATGCCGTCTTCCCCAGATCTGAGGGCGCTGTGGTGGCACCCGTCTCCAGCTGTATCCCCCTGTCCCTCCCATGGCCACTGAGAGATGCCGTTCCCACCCTGCCACCAAAGACCTTCCAGGTCACGTGTGGGCCCTGAGCTCCTGCAGCCCTCCTGGCCTGTCCGTCGAGGGCGGAGGAGACTGCCTCTGTGGTGCCAGGTGCTGCCCCCAGATAGCTTTTGACGGCCACGTCTGGTTGGGACTCACAAAGCACTTGCCATCAGCCCAGGCTCCTGAGCCCTTTCTGCACAGACACACATTGCCATGGCCGTCCCATCCTTGTGAGGTTAACTTCTCTAACCCAAGAGCAGGCGCCATTTGCATGCTGTTAAATTTCATCAGTCCCGCCCACCGGGCTCTGTGGGCACATTTACCGTCGTCCCGCATACCAGTCACCTTCACATCGTCCACACCTCTGAAAACACCTCTTCTGTATCCGCTCTGACATCAGCATAAAAACACTCCAGGCTGCGTCCCCTCAGCCCTCCTCCTGGCGCGGATCCGCCCCCGGGCGTTCTCTGCACGGAGGCGCTTGCTTGCACGGCCCTGACACCTCACCCCTCTACTCTCCATCCTGTCCCGAAGACAGTGCTAAGGCATGTGGCGGATGCCTCGCTGAAACCCAGGAACTGTGGCCGCACTGTCCCCCTGCGCTTTAGTCACCTGCCCCCAAGTGAACCATACCACGGGTTTTCCTTGAACCCACGCTGACTGCGGGCATCACCCCTTCCGTGTCTGTGGTCCAGGAGCAGGGGTGGAGCTGCTGATCTGGGCATTTCTAGGGCTTGCAGATATCCCACTCCACTCTGTGGCTGCGTGTGTTGAAGCAACCTCGAAGACAGGCGCTCCGAGCGTGTGTCAGAGTTTTACATCAAACTGCCTACAAGGGCTGTTGGCTCCTGAGCAAGCCAGTTAAATCGTTTTAGTTCTCTCTTGATGCGAAGAGAAGGACTCTAGCTTAAAGATACTAGGCTGGTCGGTCACCCGGGCTGACCTCCTAATCCCCAGGAATTTTTTATCTCATTGATGTCCATCAGCAAGTTGCTCAACCCTTCATCAGGAACGTGAGTTCCTTCCTAGAAAGGACAGGTGATCGCGTCAGACCCGAAGCTCTGCCCCAGCTCGGGCTTGGTTCCTCACTCCTGGCAGGTGCGTGTCCAGGAGACGCAAGTTCATTTTCACGTTAACCCAATACATATACATAACTGTTACCGTCCCTAAGAAACCATTCATTGCTCTCAAAGTTTTTTTTAATCAAGGAAAATATTTGTCAAAGCATAATTTTCAAAAAGTTAAAAACGTGTATCCTATACTCTTAAGTATAGGATGGTCTTGTGCCAGAGTTTTCATTTAGCCCATTAATTAACGAAGGGACCAGGAAGATGGTAGAGCTCATTCACAAGGGGATTTGAGGAACAGGAGTGTATCCGTCAGTCAAGTGAATGTTGAAATGGATCTGCTAATAGACACAGAACTGGCTCATGTTCTACAGGCCATAAAATTGTCTTTAGGGTGATCTTTTATTAAATAGCAAAGTCAAACGGTGGTACATTCACTGGATAAACAACCCTTGAGTGAGCTTGTTAATCAGAACCCCAGTATCTCTTGAAAAGCGTACATTTTTCATCTTTCTGTAT